TTTAATCTTATACATTCAATTAATTACAAAACTTCAACAGTTGAGTAATATTTTGAACAAATAAGTGTAATGTTGATTTAATACACATAAATTCTAATTTTTTATATACATGCGTCATCTATCGTAAGGAAAGAAAAAAGCAAAAAAAAGAGATGGCACAAGTTATCCGAAGATGGTAACCCGATTTTTGTCCTTTTCTTAAAGAATTGAATAAAAATCTTGTCATTTTTTTTTTATAAATATTTCTTATGATTTAGATTTCAATGTAAAATTTTTATATATAAAAAAACATATTTCAATTTTTTCGTGTATATTAAAAAATATAAATATGAAAAATCAACGCAACATTTCACAAAATTTCAGAACAAGAATATTTAAAAAAAAATAAATTTAAGAAATAATACACCTTTTTAAAAAATTCTTTGCGGATGTTGTAACAGTTTAAGCACATCATAGAATAACGATCCTCATCTATTATATCGAAATATAATTTGACTGAATAGAATACTGATAAGTTGTGAAATAACAGTTGAAAAATATAATTTTGTTTATTATTTGAAAATTAATATTGCATCAATTTCAATGATTATTAACGATAAAATTCTAAGTTTAAACATTGAAAAATTAATCTCTAATATTAATAAAATATTAATAATATTATAAAAAAAATTTTTGAATTTATTGAAAATGCATATTAATTATCCAATAATTTTCTTTTGGAAATTACTAAGATTAATTCCACAAATTCATATATAATTATATCTAAAATGTTTTATTAACTTCGATTTTATTAATTTATAACTATTCCGTTCATGTAATGTCTTCTATCAAAGATATTAAATAAATAAATCTATCATATGGCACTTAAAATAGAGATAAATATATTGTAATAAAAAATTCATATTGATAATTAAAAAATTTTTATCGAATTTTATATTTATATTAAGACAGATGTTCGCTGTCGAAAATATATCTTTGAAATGGATGATAATTCAGAGAAATTCAACAATAGAAAAAGGAAATATCACGCAGGTATGTATTTTGATTGGCATTCGATAAACGATTCATCCTTAACTCTTTAATTGCATATTATTTTCGTGGATGGATCGAGTTCTATATAATTGTTCTCACCGTGTATTTACGGTTGCAAACAGGAGCGGAGGAGAGGATTTGATGAAAGGTGGTGCTGTCGTGGCGTCCGCGCGCATTGTGTTCAGGTTGGTGCGGCCGGTCACGTGACCGTCAAATGGATTTGCGTCAATGGTGACCTCCGCGTTCGCATATCTCCGCACCCCGCTGTTCCGCATATCCCATGGGCCCCAGCAAGAGACCCGTGGGACCAGCATTCGCCAACACCGGAGATGAGGTAAGAAAGCTTCTTATGACACGCTAAAACTGGAAAGAAGAGTTGGGATCTAAGAAGAAAAGAAATTTAATCCAGTATGATAGAAAAAATTATTCTTAAAAAAAATTGAAAGGAATTGCGATGTGAAGAGGTTATAAAAAGCTCTTAACATAAATAATAAACAAAATCGAAAAAAAAATACAGAAGAAATTACACAGAACTATAATCATATTTGCCTTGTAATCTTTTTAACGTTATTGCTTTCTTATTATTTCGGCCACGCGCGAAAAAGAAATATCATGGTAACATATACACACAGTAATGACGCACGAAATTCGTTCACCAACCAGCGATAAAATCGAGGATACTTGTATCTCCAACGATTTGAATTTATCGAGTTCTTTCTGTTTCTCTCATTTTTCTTCTATGCGAAAACGAAGATCACGGAATCGCTTCTCTATGCAGTATCGTTAATATCGATTCTCGATGCGATCATCTTGTTTTGTTCCGTGTCATCGACCGCGATCTTCATTGACAATCGAGAAAATCGATGCCATGTCATTGATCTACTCGAGACGGTTTGTATCGATTAATATCGAGTCTTTTCTTTTTTCGATACGTCGACGATTTATAGTATTTTTCCTTTATTTGATTAATATTTTTGAGCGATCGATTCTCTCAATGCTAAAATGTTGAAAGCGTAAATTATTGAAACAAATAACATTTACACGTTATGAAAAAGCAAACAATTTCGAACAAAAAGTGACTTTTTTCTTTTTAAATATAAAAATTCGTCTAATGAAATCCGGTTATGTGTCTTAACCTCGAGAAAATCAAGATTACATCGAATAGATATTTTAAAAATAAACGTGATCTAGTTTAATATTTTACTATTGGTCACTCTTTAGAAAAAAAAAAAAAAAAAGAATCTCGATCGGAATTAATTTATTATTACAATTCAATGAATAATAATTTCTTTACATAAAACATAAAATATTTATTGTTTTTGTATTTTTTAATTTTTTGTGTGATTTTATCCAATTTTGTGTATTTTTCACTTATTGATATTAGCTTTCTAAAAAAATTTTTTTATAAGAAACTGAAAAATTAAATCATATATATCAATATGTATCATTTTATTCTAAAAAGTATATGTGTATATGTATATATGGATTGACATAATAATTATTGAAAATTATTCATTAATTAATTATATATTCGCAATGGTTTAATGAAAATAATATATCATTCACATTTTAAAACATAAACTAAAAAGTTCTGACAATTAACATTGAAATATATTATTATTTTAATATATTAACATTGAATTGTATAATTTCCTTGTATGAATAAGTTATTTACGTTATTTATATAAAACTAATAGTTCTATAAATCTTTTGAAATTTTATCAAGCATCAAATTTTCAATGAAATATTCTTTTATTAAATATTAATATTTTTTGCTAATAATTTTTACAATACAAAGAGAAATTACTAAATACTACAGTTGCAAGTGACTAAATATTTGCAGTAATGTGCTGAATGCGAACACGTCTTATATACTTTCTTTGCAAACTTATATTGCTTGCGTCAACAGATAGCAAATATTTCGTTTTGAATATAGACATTCAAGGGAGAACACATATTTTCTTTTTCGTTAAAACAAAAAATTTAATAAATTATCATTTAAAAAATTATTATAGTTATTGTTAAATGTAAAATTAAAAAAAATTCTTCTTTTTAGATTCTTTTAAATTACATAATATATCTTTGTGGAATTTGTATATATCTACTATGCATATTAATATACGTGTTTATTTATTTTTCACATTATTTTTATTTAAAAATTGCATTTCACTCTTTCTTTCACGTTTCATTTTCAGATTTTGAAAATGATTTTGTTAAATTTAATTTCTATCTTATAATTCTTTTAAACTTAAGAAATTAATTATCTACGAAATATTTAAATAATTTTAATCAATGATATAACCAATTTATATATTTATATATTTACGTAAAGTCAGTAAGAATTGAAATTGTTAAGAATTAGCAGAGAAGTACGTTGATTGGTGATATTTCACATCTCTATTAAGACTTCTACCAATTTAACAAATAAACTGATAATAACTTTATGCGTATTTAACGTTTGAAAATACGTTTCAATGACACATATTTATGAAACGAATATCACAAAATTTTCAACCACAAATATTTTCAACCGCAAAGTTGATTGATCAAAGTTATCTCTTCCATCGATATGAACATTTAATATTTTGAATAACACATTGCTACATTTACCGTTATGACTTTCCTTAGATTTCATTATCAGATTAATGTACATTATTATTTCCTGTTATTTCGAATCGAGGAAAAAGTTTTCTAGAAATATACACATTATAATTTCTAATAATATTTGTAATTCAAATTATATAAGTATGACGATAATTTAATAATACATATCACACATATTTCATTAACTTTAAGCTCATATAAAATGTATCAACAAGACGTCAATCGACATTACTATAATTGCAAAGGTTGATTCGTATTTTTGTATCGGTTCTATTCACCACAATGAATAACATTATTTCGTCGTTACGTCAAACGATTCTTTTCCAAAGACGATTAAATCTAAATAATATTAGCTTAGAAAGAAGAAACCTACAAAGAGTTATAGATTAAAATTCCTCAGCTCGATCGCAAGGTTGTTGTTGTTGTTTTTCTTTTCTTTTCTTTTCTTTTGACATATCACCGAAATAACCAAAGTCGCGCATGCGCCGTGAAAAATCCATGTAACGTTCACGTGGTGGAAGAACATGAGTCACGAAATTTTATTCGACAAAATGGATTTACTAGTAGCGTGTATGTAACAGACTGCGTATCAAAGGGTTAATAAAAAGAGTGGAAGTATCTCAAGGTTGCTCAATCTACTAAAATCTTAGCGCAAATAAAACGAGCACGACTTTACATAATAGATGTTGAATCCACAATTGGACTTATTTATGGATCCCATTCCCTTTAGCACGAGGTTTCACGTGAAATGCAATGCTTGTTATGATTTTGACTGATACTGTCACATTTGTTCTTATTAAACTCGATTGGCAGAGATCGAGAATTGAATTTCAAATAGTTCTTCCTTTCGCTTTATTAATAGAATAATAAATAAAGAACGAATAAGAAAGCATCTTTGATTTAAGGTTAACGAGATGCTAATGAGTTTTTCTTCCATAAGAAATAATCGACGTATCCGTCCTTCTCATTAGATAATCAATAGAGTGAATTATGAATCATGAATTAAATAGTTATAAAAAGTGGAATAATAATTTATAATTGTGTAACGATACGATCGCGCGGAGTATAATCGGGTCGCAGTGCAATGGCAACATGAATGAGCTTACGATATTACGAATTTAATTTACGAATGGCAGGAAAAAAAGAAAAAAAAAAAGAGAAAGAGAGAGAGAGAGAGAAAGAAAAAAGTCGCGGTCGTGATAATGGGAATGATACATGGCAAACGTTTGCCTTCTATATATTCTAATTTTAACGGGAAAGAAAAAGAAATAAAATTGCAATTACGTCATGAGACACGATATTTATAATTTATTGATATAATTTTTTGTACATATAATATGATAAGGATTAATGGAAAAAAATTAATTGCACGATAATGACAAAGATGAAATATTAAAATATATATATATTTATCATAATTTTTTTTTTTTAAATTTAACATATCAATTTCTTCTTATAATAAAATAATTTATTATAGAAGAGATCGTAGAGAGATGGCCTGCTAGAGAATCACAATGCTCGTAAATTTATTATCTTTCCTGATTTTCCTTCCTTCTTTCTTATCTGAAAATGTACATGACGTCCATCGTAAACGTGGCGTGACACGTAAATAAGATATGTTTATATTTTTTTTAATTACCAATATGTCATCAATTATCAATATTACTTATTATTTAGTGATTTTTTTTTTTCTCTCTTTTCTACGATCGATCTATTTTCTCGTCGAAAATTTTTATCGATCTCATTTCGAAATTTGTACATGATCGTTTTTTTTTTTTTTTTTTTTTTTCTTTCTTTTTTTCGATCGTTCTATTTTTTCGTCAAAAATTTTTATCCTTCTCATTTCAAAATTTGTAAATGTTCGTTTTTTTTTTTTTTTTTTATTTATTTAAAGCAAAAATATCGATCTATCGACGATCTATTATCGTTTTATCCGCTTCATCTGTAACTCGTTTTTCAATTGCATCTACGTATATAACGAATATACTCGTCGTGAATTTTTTCAAGTTCAAGTGGCGAATTATATTATACTCATTATCGCTTTTACGATACAATTTAGGTAAAAAAAAAAGCTTTTAAAAAAATAGGATAACACAGTTAATAAGTTAATTATTGCACTTGTTGCATTTAACTTGAAACAATAATGGGTGATAAATTTTTTTTAATTTATCCACACTTTATGCAAATTTACATATTTTTTTTTTTTTTATCGATAAGTAAATCAGTCTTTCAATAATTTTAGTGTAATTTATTTTTTTTTTACAACGATCTTTTTCTATATTTCTCCTTTTCATTTTCACTCTTCGGCATTTCACCACGATTGTATTAAAAAAAATTTTTTTTTTTTAATACTTACTTACTTAATCTCACATTCGTGTATTGTAATTTATGCGTGTATTTGGATCCGCGCTTTTAAGTACAATTACATAACGCGTGACGTAATGTTAATTTTAAACGCGATGTGACTTGTAAATTTTTGAAAATTTATATGACAAGGGGCGGGCAAAATTTTTCGTACGTATCAAATAATGTCGAATAAATTTTTTATGATGATGTGAAAAAAAAAGGGGGCGGGGCGGGGCGGGGCGAGGGGAAGAGAAGGGAGGAGGGAGGGGGAATGCGGGGAAAGCAAAAAATGTTTTAAATAATAAAACATTCGCATTCTTAAAAGTTGAAAAAAAAAAAAAAAATAAATAACGTATATATTGATTTACAAACAGAAATTCATTAAATATACATTTATTCTTTATTTGAGAAGCTCTAAGAACCATTTATTATCTATTGATCGTATTGTACTTTATTGGCAATAAAGGATTATGCATAATGGCATCCGTTTCTAAACCGCAAATGCAATCACGTGACGAAAACGCATATGCATACATTACTTTTATCAATTAGAAATACATGAAATTGCAAATTAGTTTTTTTTTTTTTTTTTTTTTTTTTTTTTAGTGAAATATATGTAAATAAGAGAAGTAAGCAGTTTTTTCTTTTCGCGAGTTTATAGTAATTCCGCATTCATAATTTATTACTTATTTTTTTTTCTACATAAAAATATAACATTTTTTTTTTTTCCTTTTTATTTAAAGACATTACTATACATTTAAAAGTTTACTTTTCACACATTTAACGCAATTAAAATACTTTTTATACGAGTAATAACGAGATCGAAGAATTTTTGTATTTCGTATATATTCGAAAAATAAAAGTAAAAATTAATCAAATTTCTTTGTTTATTATTATTAACGTTTAACCATAAAGAATAATTTTTAAATCATTTTAATAAATGCACGTAGAAATGCAAGTTTTTTTTCATATCGAGGATCAAGAAGAATTCAAAATTATTTGGGGATACAATTAATTCGTTGAAATGATGATAACATTATTATCGCGCGAAATTGAAACAAAGGAACGGAAGAAGGAATTAATCGACGAACAAAAAAAAAAAGAGACCATCGATTTATAATTTATGACAGTTTTTCTTCCTCCATCTGTGGATCGTTCCCACGGAAGAGTGCCGCCACGGGAACTCGAATGAATAATATTCTTGGTGCAAGATGCTTTGTCAAAAAAAAAAAGGAATCAAGAGACAGCGTCATCGGGAAACGAAGGTAATGTCTCGCTCTTTTTTACGCAATACAATGAATCATGCTCACGCCACGAATATGCAAAGCATAAAAAAAAGGGAGGGGAAAAATCGAATCACGATCATTTACCTTTTGGAAATCGTAATTGAGAGTCGCGATCAAACGTGGGATTGAAAACGGAAATAATAAATGGCGACGTTAAATCAACAAAAAACTGAAAGAATTTGCTCGATAAAGTTTCTTTAATCGAGTAAAAAATAATCTAAATAAACAATTCTCTCGAAGATTTCTTCTCTGTAATATCTTTTCACATTATTGAACGAACGAAAAATTCCAAATTTAATTTATACTATTATATATAAAATAAAAAATTTTAAATTTAATTTAAAAATATTATATATAAAATATTATTATACAATAGGTTCGATCGTTTTCTAATATTTTTTATTTGAACAGTAATTCGTAACAATGAGTTACTGCACTCGTTGTCGAAGCAGTATTATTGATTATCCGCAGGTAATTTTCCATTAACGAAAAGATATGTTTGAAAGAAAATGATAACGTTAACGAGAAATTCCAAATTTAATTTTTATAAAATATTACACAATAGGCTCGATCGTTTTCTAATATTTTATTTGAAAAATAATTCGTAACAATGAGTTACTCGTCGAAACAGTATTATTGATTATCCGCAGGTAATTTTCCATTAACGAAAAGATATTTAAAAGAAAATGGTAACGAAACATCTCTTAAGAATTCATATTATAAATACAAAGCTTATTATGAAATTATCAAGTGAAAATATCCCAAATCGATAAAATCGATTCTCTTGTTAAACACCTCTTAATGAATTTAATGATATTAATTAAATTAATTCCTGAAATGAGTTTGATCAAAGGATGATCGAAGAGCGAAACGGCATCGCCCTCTTCCTTCTGGACTGTACGTAAATTACTGGACAACGACAAGCATGGCGTGACTAATCGCATTCATCGCGTCTACTCATCGGTGCGCATTGCAAAAGTCCTTTTCCTGTTTGATTATCGGTCGTGCTTCAACATTCGTGAGATTATATTGCAAATAGACACAAAACAATTCTCAACAGCGAATGTTTGTGAATAAAGTGAATTAAGTTTAGACTCATAGCATTGAAATATAAAAATTGAAATCAACGAATCAAAATAAAATAATATATATATATATATATATATATATAAAATGTTAACGTTCATCGTGTCACAGTTAATAATTTATATTAATAAATTTATTAATAAATAATTTTAATAGTAATTATTAATATTTTAATTATTAATCAAATTATTAATAAATTTAGGAAAAGTCACAGTTATAAATTTAGGAGAAATTTAGGTTAGGTATAACACGTTGTACTTTCTTCGCGTGATTTTCACGCTGAAATTCAGTTTTTCATCTCTCTATTTCTTCGTATTTCGTGTTATTTCATAGCAATGGAATTTTTCTTCGTATCTTCAAAACATCTATACGAAACAAAATAGGAGAAAGTAGTTTGTGAAATTTCGAATACACAACGTATCTGTATACGTTGGAAAGTTTATTTCTTTTCATTGAGTTTTTTAAACGGCATATCTACGTCATACAGCAACATCCGGGCATACGGTCTCGATTATGCGTTCTTGAAAACAAGTTCATGCACATTATTCGTATGAATAATAACGGTAGAAATGTCGTCTGTGTTGAAAAATTAAAATAGATAATGTTAAAACTCTCTTATGCAATTTAGTATACTCATAATAGGATAGGGAATTAACTATTTTTTTTTTTTTTTCCTCTCTTCTTGTGAGAAAACTGCCGACTATTTTTATTAATTTGAAATATTAACAAACAATGGAGAAGTGCGTGATAATAGGCAAATATTTATTTGTCTATTACATCCTGAAATATCGTTTTATGACGGTTAATTAACATACGACATTGGTATAATTTTAGCATAGAACAAATAATAAAACAATGAATAAATTTCTTGGTGAATTATAGCGATTTGTAAATATCTTTTTGCTTTTTTTATTCTTCTAGGAAATTAAATAAACACACTTGGAATATAAATATACGAGAAGTGAAGTGAAGAACGTATCTCATGCTCCGTGCTATCACGTTTATTCTAAAATGATTTCTTTTAGTGAATAAGTTCTCACTTTTTCTTCCTTCATGTTCTTTATATCGTTCGAGATAACCGATTCAAATTTTGAAAAGGGTATCGTCAAGGGTGACGCAATTACTATAAATTATGACGTCAATCCTTTTTTATCACATTATTATTACCAAATCGACCAGGTTGTATAACACGTTGTACTTTCTTCGCGTGATTTTCATGTGATTTGTCTTTTTCGCGATTACAAAAATGTTTCAGAAATTCAGTTTTTCATCTCATCGTTTCTTCGTATTTCGTCTTATTTCACAGCAATGGAATTTTTCTTCGTATCTTCAAAACATCTGTATGAAACAAAGTAAGAAAATTAAACGATCGAATGATATTATTATTATTATTATTATTATTATTAAATAATTTATAATATCTCTTAAAGTAAAACCTCGATACAGGTCCTTTTTTGTTTAAAGGGTAGCAATACACAACGAGTGATTAACGAGAGTAGTAACAGCTGTATAAACGTGGATGATGCGGAATTGATGCAATCTTTCTTCGGATTTTACCTCAAGGAAACTCCACGCTCCTTCAGAAGAAATAAACATTTTATCTTATGATGAAATATCTTATAGTCAATGGAACATTTCTAATTTTAATTTAAATACATTTCTTTTTTTCAATTTTTCAATTATAAGAAATCGTATATTTTTAAAATTTAATCGATGAAAAAATTTGTAATTTTAATTTAAATACATTTCTTTTTTTCAATTTTTCAATTATAAGAAAAGGAATTCATTTTTAAAATTTAATCAATGAAAAAATTAAAATTGTTTCAGAAATGTATAACAGAGAGAGAGAAACAGGTCGAGATTTATGTGGGTTACATTCTCTATTAACGAAGAGGCATACCAGGAATTTCTTTCTACGTTCTTTCCGTTTTCGAAGTCCCACGATGAATCTGAATAACTGTCGCACGCCACCGACTTTCACCTCGGCAAGATTTTTACAGTCAGCAGAAACGTCTCTTTAAGCCGAGCGGAGTAGAGTAGAACGGTGTAAAATTAAATTGTCGAGAAGCGGCCCGAGTGACAGATCATAACCATAATGATTATAAAAAAATTAACCGAAATGAAACTTTATCTACAACAGACGCGTTTAAATTAATCTTTATTTTTGGCACCAATGAACTTTAAAATAAATTTTACGATTACAGTTAAAATAATTAATATACGTATGTAAAAAAACATATTGAAATTCATATGGTAGATAAAATGAATTTGTATCATGTTGCGAGGAAACTTGTGATAATACGAATGATTTGTTTCCATTGATATCTTGAAGCAAAGATGAATCGAGTTAAGAATGATCGAAAATTAAAAAAGTAGAGCAATGTGTGTGTTTTAAAAATTTTTTAATAATGGCAACACATCGCAAGACATTCGTTGAATGCAAACTGTTGAATGATTCATAAATCCTTTCCTTCGATCCTAGACCTTGAATAAACTAAAGAGAAACATGCATAACTAAGATATTAAATCTAAAGATTACAAGAAATTCTGTGTAAAGTACCGTTTCTTATTCCTTGTATATAGTTATCTTTAATGGTTATCTTTTCTGTATATATAGTAATCTTGTTATAATACATTGTGAAAGATAAATCATTGTTTGTTTCATTGTGGAATGGACAATGATATATATTTCTAGTTAAATTAATATTTCTAATGAAATACCGTTTCAGGAAATTGATATGGACAAAAAGATGATGATTACTTAGCGCAACGCAATAAGTGCCGTTATCTCTTGATTTATTTACAACCTTGTCACTGTAAGTGGCACCATTGAACTTTTATAAATAATACAAAGTTTAAACTTCTTAACCACTTCTTATCCAACTTCTTATCTTTAAAAAAAAAAGTTTTATTTTAATTTTATTTTAAAATGAATTATTTGATATTTGTCAATATAAATCATACTTACTTACATTTTTAAATTGCTACTTTAGTAATATGTAATTAATTTTATTAAATTTTTAATAAAATTTTAATTCAAGGATGTGTTATGACTAACAAAAGTAATTTTTTTTTAATGCAAATTTTTCATATATTTTATGTTAATTTTGAATTTTTAAAATATTTATTCAATCATTCTGACAGTTGACAAAAATTTTATTCGTGAAACGATTAACGAGGAAGAAAAAATTAATATGAATGATAATTATGGTGCAATTTAACACGAAAGATAAGAATATTATTGTTATCGCTAAAACAGATTAAAAATTAATTTTCCCATTGAGAAAAAATTCTTTGATGAATAAATATTGTTGATTGAATAATTATTATTGAATAAATTCAATAATTTCATTGATTTAAATAATAAATACTTTTATTATTATAAATTTTATTTCTTAATGCTAAATCGAATAACTTCTATCAGGAATTCATTTTTCCATTTAAAAATCATAGATAATGAAAAGAATTAATGTAAATTTCTACTTCTAAAAATTTTAATTATTTAGATTTTAATGAAACATTCTAAAGTACATTATATGATAATTTTCGAATAATCCTGTAAAAAGGGGTTATGACCCGAATAATGGCCCTATCCATTCTGGTTTCAGAGTATACTATACATGTAACAACTGCACGAACGAGAATCGGACGTCGACACGACATGGAGGGGGAGCGTTCAGACGATAAAACTACATGTAACTCTCTCCGCTGCTCAGTATGCATTGAGAAAGCGAGAAGTGGCAGGTAATCGTTGTTTTATTTCTTGCATTTTCATATTCACGCGGAAACGAAAAAACGATTATTAATTCGTTGACAAAAACTCAATTCTACCAATCAGAATCAACGTCTTATAATTTCCTTTGTGGGGTAGTTAGTCTCTATAGCGCATGCGCAATATCGACGGTTTCACACGCTTCTTCAATCGCGTTTCGAAGCTATCGAAGTTTTCACTGTGAAGTTTTTCTACAGATACAAATTGATCTAATTGAATAATATTGTCCGAATATTCAGTGCTTCGTTATTTCTATTGATAAAACATGCGATCTGGATGAAAGTAACACAAAATTCAAAGAATCGAATTTATACTTTCAAAGATAGCTTCCAATCGAAAATACCACGTGAAGTAGCATCAGTTTATGTTGATGTGAAAGAATATTCGAAAACGGTGTCTCTGAATATTCGAGTAATAAAAGAAAAGGATAATAATAAGAAATTTATTCAAGTGGGAGAGAATTAGTTTGGAAATCATCGTTAAAGATTATGATAAAATGAGTATCGGAAGCCACGCCTAAGATGAACTCGTGAGCGTCGATTGAGGTTAGCTTACTTTTAAATGAACATCGAGATTTAAGTGCGTCCCTCCGTTCATAGCGAGTGACGATTTTATTTGTATACATTGTGCGTACGTGTTCCGGAGGAGTGCCAGCTCGAAGAGAGGAATAATGTCAAGCAGTGTTTGCCACGCGCCTTTACCAGCACGAATGGAAGCATTCACCACGAGACTCTGTCTCCGTGCTGCTGATCAGTATGAGCGGCTTCTGCAAGCTCACTTCAACAAGGTACGTGTGTCAAAAATTATATTCTTGTTGATTATTTTAATCTATTAATTCAAGATGCGAGCACGTTAGAAATAGAAATTCACTCGAAGTACGAGAAACTTCGATGATGCGTAAACTGCAGTAGAATATTTATATAGATATACGGTCCTTCGACTATTTATAACATTATCTTTAACAGATAATAAAATAATTTTGTTGTAAATATTTCGTATTTATTGTATTGTTGAATTTGATTATATGCAGAACTTTGTAATAATCTTTAAATATTTAAAATGATTCTAAAATTATTTAAAGGGTGCAACAATAAAAAAAATGTACAAATAAAGCGAATAGACATAAAATAGATAGAATTTAATTAAAGATAGATTTTAAAAATAATCAATTGCAAAAAAAATATCTCATTTTTAATGTATTATATTACTATTACTTTTCTTAAATATTTTTTCTCTCATTTTATTATAGAACATTGAATTGAGAAATATTATTTAACGTGTATTCTAGTTTTAAATTTGCAAAATGTTATTCATTTCTTTAACATATCATTTATTACTCTACACGTGTTGTATGACACAAGAGACACTTGTGCATGCATAATTTACAAATGATAATAGTCAAGTTCAGTATTCATTTATGTTTTTTTAATCATTTATATATTTATCGATTAGAGCCATTTTTAAAAATCAAGAAAAAATAAAATAAAGCAGTCATGAATTAAAAGCATCAATAGTTGAAAAAATTTGTTCCAAATAAAGATCATTGAGCTCTATTATAAGATTAGTAGTTTCAACGATGTTGATCATTGTGGAAATTATCGTTTCTTGATATATATTTAATACGTATGCACACGGAGGACGCCGTTAACGGTAACATCGTTCCATTTTTCGGTTTGCCGTTATTTTTCCTTTCACGGTATTTGTTTCGTACATCAATTGTCTGTGCATTGTAGATACAATTTACAACGTTTAAGTTAATTAATTTTATATTTTATTTAAAACGTAAAATTAAATAATTTTGACCAAAAATTATTTTGAATTAAATACGTTATAACTCGAGAAATATTTATTCCCTCTAATGCACCTGTTAAACGTATGTCTGAGCAAATAAATGATACTTTTGCTAAGAATAAAATTAAGCTGTGAACCGGTCTTCTATTTTTAGTCTGCTACTCTTTCGCACAACTCCAAATTAAAATCCCATAACTAATTTAAAACGTTCGACGTTTTAGGTTAGGTGAAGCGTTTAAAAAAATCTACTTTTATTAAAATCTATCTTCACCCGTTAGTTACGTACTCGACTTTAAAATATCGTTCGATTATTATTTCTTCGAAATATCGCTTTATAACCTTTAAATGTACGTATTTAATGTAAATAATATCGATTGAATTTGATATATCTCGACTCGACTCGGAGAAATATTTTAATCAAAAAAAGATCGAATTTGACTTTCGAAACACTTTTGAACGCAGACTCGACCTTCGACCTTCGACGAAAGCAGATGATGAATAAATTCAAGGCGGTGCTCGATGACAAATTCAAGGATCCCTTTATATCTGGAACAGGGAACGTGTTAAATCATCGAGTTCGTGCAACTTATTTGACGATGTATTAAGTCGAAAAAGAAAGGATAAAAGTATCGAATTCATAAATTATCAGCTCAAATGTGCGAATAATGTAATTCAATGAAATGTTACTTGTTACTCGTTTCTCCTGTCCTTTTGAAATAAATCATCGACAAATTTCAATTAAACTTGTTTACTTATTACATAGCCGGGATATATAGATCCATGCTTAATATTTTCATATTAAATTTTGCAATATAATATAATCGAAAATTTAATGCAATATTTTTTTTTTATTTTAATCTGATTATTTTTGTAATAAAGTTTGAAAATGAAATAATGATAAATATTCGTGACAATTAAAATTCTAATCTGAAATTTCCATTCATTGTTAAATTGAAAATTATAATTGCTGTTATAAATTGAAAGAGAACAATGGAATATTTGAACATACATTGTATACACTATGTAATTTCGAGAAGGTATGCTACGTGATCCATTTCATGGACCAAATACATACCTCGTTCCGATAACGCATGTATAAAATGATGTTTATAAAATATGAAAATATGCGGTGGAGAGCAATTAATTACTCGTTGAATATAAAGTACTTCAAATAATTATCAAATTATCTGTGTGAAAACGTATAAATGTAAATTATTTGATAAATACTATTTGATTTCTACATAAAAGTTTTATACCAACTTGAAAAGTCACGTACTCGAGTGATTTTACGAAATAGCAAAAAAGAAATACAACGCATGCTCCATTGTATATATGGCATATCTCTAATTGTAACGATAATAATAAGTAATAAATTTGAACAGAGATAGGAGAGAAATTTAAATTAATTTAATAAATTAATAATAATTTCTATCCACTCGATCCAAATTTTTATTATTTTTATATATTTTTTTTTAATTTATTTTTAATTTATTTTTAAATATTCATTCAAATATTATAATATTGATTCAATAATAATATTCATTCAAAGATACGATTCAAAGAATTTTTTTCAATCGTTGCAAACAATAAAAATTCTTCAAAATTCATTAACTTTATTTAAAATTATAAACTCGATTTTCTAGTAGTTGCATTAGCTTGGCAAACGACGTTATACACGTGAATATGGTATAAAATAATTCCTATGACGTGAAAGATACGCTTCGTGTAACCTGGTGTCACAGGAAATAGAACAAAGTGCATATCTGCAGAATGATTTAAATGTAATAAAAAAAAAAAAAAAAAAAAAAAAAAAGGAAATAAGAACAAGTTTTAATAGCGTAACAACATGTGATCGAATTTAGCACGATATTTGAACAGCTTCTAAAATCCAAGAAAATTTAATTAAATTTTCGATCACTCATCGATATAATCGATCGATCAAAATTTATGTATACAGTCAGATCATTTTATATACAGTTTATCTCAATATAGAACATTCCAAGGAAGATGTTATCCCTAACAAATTGAGAATTGTTATTCTATCCTTGATATAAGCCAATTTAGAAAGAGATAAAGGAAAAATTTTTTAAAAACAGGAAAAATGCAATCTTTCTCTTTCTTGAAAAATAATAAATACAAAGCAGTTGTAATGTTTCGCGGCTGATTGTGTCAAATATTTTTCGTGGTTTTTTTCCACGGATGCAATTCTTAATCGAGATTTCCAGTTGATCGATAAAATTTTTTTTCGTGAATTTCGTTACGACAAAAGATAGATAAGAATATGATACTTTAAATTCGAAGATATATAAATTTCATTATATATATATATA